TTAAGGAGGTTCGGTAGTGTTAGCGGGGGGAAATCTCAGAGAGGCAAGGGGAGGGAGAGCGTCTGGCAACGTTGTGAATTTTTTTGGCTGCTGGCACGTCGTCTACTGTTGTTGTCGTCTACTGCTGTTGTCGTCGTCTACTGATGACAGTGTACTTATTTCTTCGGTTGAATTTTTTATAATTAAATTTTCAATTACAAAAGGAGTTTTTACTATTCATTACATTTCAAAGCGCGCTCCAAAAGCAGCGTTGCCAAGTCGTCTGCTGCGAGCACATTTTTGCTGTTTTTTAATAGAAATTTGTGGTAGGGCTCTCTCAAACTTTGACAAAATATTATTTTGACAATATTCTTTCATTTAAAAAAAAAAAAAAGCAAGTTCATTTAGCCGTTTTTTTTTTTATGTGAAATTCAAGTGATTTCTCCATTAGCCTACACGTTAAAATATTGTTTTTTCAGGTCAATATATCTTGAAAACGGTGTGGTTCAACCTTTCAAAAATTTAGCTGTAATTTGATAATATTATCCCAAACAACATATCGAAATTTCAAAAATTTTCATCATAAAAAATTAGCACTACCGAACCTCCTTAAAGAGTTAGTGTGTTTATGTGTTCATACTCCAAGAACTCATGAAAAATCGCTCTATAACTCCATTTTTTACTTTGGTATATGGCTACATAGTAAGTATACCTCTTTTTTTTACGAAAAAGCTTTATTAGTTTTTTTTTTTTTTTTTGACAATTGCAAAATTAGTTGGAAAATAGAAAATACCAAATTCAGTGTTAATAAATCAGTTAGCAGTGATATTAATATTGACTGTTATCAAGATGCAGCAATCATCTTAACTATACACAAATGTTATCGAATTTCATAAAAGAATATAGTCTATTAGGCATTTAAGTCACCGTATCGGCCATTCAAAACTAATAGTTACTTTATTTAGGAGTTGGTCAGGTATTGACTTTTCTTAAGGAAAAGATAAAAGGGAATTCTATTTCGTATTTTTCCAATTCTCATGAATCTCAATGTACACCACATCACGTTGCGTACATATATTGACTCGATTATTATTACCAGGGACGGAAATAATCTAAGAAGGGAAATTATTATATACTGAGTTGGTTCGACGAACAGTAAGAATAAGTAAGCCATGCCATGCAAGAAATATAAGATGACAATAGGGATACATTTATATGTGCTTACATTGAGCTAACGGAGCTTATACATTAAGAGTGCCCATACGCATTAAGTACATATTTTAACCTAGTGTCGCATTTTTAACACCACTGAGTTTTTTTATGTCATAAGCATGGCGAGCACGAATTCCATCACATAATGGATTAACATATGACGAAGCCTATCTTAATGTATGAATAAACGTTTATATGAATGTATAAATATACTGAGAACAAAATAGACATTGTGTACATCATCATTGCGAGATATTTTCCTTCTAGAATCATTTGGACTTCAAAACAACACTAGTTTAGTAAAAAATGACTCCGGAAAATAAAATTTGTGTTGAATGTAACTAATAAAATTTAAATACCTTAACCATAAATAAAGATCCAAAACATCAAATACTGCCTCCCTTTGGATAAGATCAATAAGGGTCTTCGGTGGTGATAAGGGCCAATTAATGTGTAGACAAATCCAATCAAACGTTATTGCTTCATTTTTACTATACTGTCTTGCAAATCTCAGGAATGTTGTGCAAATTAATGGAATTTTTCTATTTATAGGCGCACAACAAAAAATATATCTGTCTCTGATTGGTAATGGAACATGTTCAATCATATCAGCAAGAAACTTGAGATCATCGACATTGCATATAAAATACATAGAATCGTCAACCGTGCAGAGAGATACAAATATATCCTAAAAAGACAATATTAATGTAAACACTGAATGTACTGCGTACAAAATTAATTAAGTCTAATACCATTAGATTTGACAATGGAGTTTTTGGTAAGTGATAAGCATATAATTCGATTTGATCAGCAGTGGGGTGTAATCCAGCTTGAGAAATAATATCTGGTGTTTTGCTTAGTAAATTTTTCAATGTTAATAAATCTTCTGGCTTAAATGTTGTGACGTATCCCTGGAATTTCAGAATATTGGATGAAAACTATTAAACCTATGTAGGTATTATATTAAATTAGTATACATTTACCTGTACTAAGAACTAAAAACAGTAATAATAACAGTAAAAATGGCAATAGTTATGACAATTATGATAATCAAAATGAGAATAATAGCGTAATAAGGTACAACTCATGATTTATTTAACTTTTATTTCATACCTGTAGACCCTATCTTTCTTCTTTTAATTGACGAAAAATTTCTTATGAAATTTTTCAAACGACTTTAGATTACTGATGAGAAAATGAAGAAAAAATGCAACAGCAATATTCTAAATATTGTGCGAAGTCAAAATGTTTTATAGATAGCTTAAAAAGCAACCATATTTAAAAACTTACAGGCATTATACTAGAGGCTCACTCAAATCGTTAACATGATTAAGACAATTTTTATATTTTATATAACATTTGTTGTATAATTTTATGTAGGTATGATTAGTAGTGTCAGTGCGTATCAGGTATTGGGCCTTCCTATTGATAATATCCTCATAATATTTTTTTAATTTTTGATATAGAATTACTATGCAATACATACTGATGTCTGACTGAAATTATAGTATGACTGGTTGTCAAAAAGTGGTCAATGTGTCGATCGCCATATTGGATATTAAAAAACAAACAGAGAATGATATAAGTTGGATAAAAGTTCTATTATCGTCGGACTTATGCAAGAACCCACGATCTCAGTATTTTAAGCAAGAACCCGATACCTCAGTATTTTTAGCAAGAACCTGTAATCTCAGTATTTTTGGCAAGAACCCACTATCTCATTATTTTAAGCAAGAACCCGTTATCTCAGTATTTCAGGCAAGAACCCACTACTTCAACGTAATTATGACAACTGATTATTGTTTACCGTGCGAGTTAGTAGCCGCGTGGGTTAAACGTACTTCTGCAAGACTGTGACTCACTTCGATTTCCATCAAATGTAAATTTTTTTTTTTACGGGTCAATTCTTTAAATTATACGAGTAATTTTGATTTAAACATACAATCATGATATTTTTTTTAAATTGGATTTTTTAAAGCTGTTTTTTTTACATGTTAATAATAATAGCAACTGCAAAAACGTATAGTAATTATTATTAGACCTTCAGGTCAGAATCTTTTTGTTGTGGTGCTGTAAAATGTTATTTTATCATTTCGGTGAAATCTGAGATGTTTTTTGAGGTTAGGGAAAAATCCTGATGTCTACGGGTTAAATTAGCTATGGAATCAGATTAACAATAAAATCCATGAATAAAAAAAAATACAAGTCAACTTAGTTATAAAAATGACTATGTTTCAGCGTGTAAGGTTCACCTTTTTTACGTACGCTTAGAGTGAAAAATTGGATTACAATACACATTATTATTTGTATCAAACTTCTTCATGGTTACGACTTTTCTGTTTGATGCTCATTATTTACATGCTAAGTAAAAGCGCTGGGTACTGTTGAATAATTTTCAGTTGATTTAAAACGACTCTCTAAATTTAGAGTTCAGCTAGAATTGTATTGGAAAAATCATACTAAAAACTTGTATTCCTTAAAAATCGCATTTAAAACTTTTATCCCGAAATGCTGATTAACATTGACGATCCAAACTTAAAGAAATAAACTTACACTGCCGGGTGATTTTTAAAAACAATAGCGACGTAGTGCGTCTTAAGTGTAAGTAATCCTTTCCAGGCAGTGACTCTAAATGGCAACGTCGAATATTACTCTTCTTGATTGATCAGAGATGGCGTTGGGGTCTCAAGGGTAACCAGCTTTTTGCTATAGAAGCAGGAAGAGAGAGAGAGAGACAAAGAATTTATTAAGTGTTGCGTCGTCTGTTACTACTAGTGAATGAATACACTTCTCTATTGAAAGCTGCATTCCATGTAGATTATCAAGAGTTGTCGTTTTTAATAATCTCTAATCATTGCTTTGAAGGTAGTTAGCAAATATTACCTTGTTTAATGCCAGTAAAGAACCTTTTGTCAGATAAGTAAAAATAGTTGTTTATTTTTAGGAACTTTACCCTGGTAACTTGATACTTTGTCCCTGTATTATTTTTTTTTTCAGACTTAAATATCTGTAAGATATAACTGCAGCTATTTTGTGTTCTAGGGCATGAGTTCCTAATTACCAATGAAGGTTGAGAAAAAAATCGATTTCGTTTATTTTATTGTGATTTAAGTCATTTTTTTCTCATCCTTGATCTAGAAAAAATATAATCTAATCAACAAGAAGCTGCCCAATGGCTATAAGAACTCTAGAGTACTTGTTTGCAAATGGCCTCCTTAGGTATTTTCAAAATTTGTTTAGTTTTATTAGTTAGGTTTACTTGAAGGTGAGTAAATAAAATGTGATAAATGTTGTTTAAGTATGGCTACCGGTCCTCATAAGCTTTGATACAAGCTAGTTTTTTTATATACACATTTCTCAATTTCCATCCAAACAAGTACACAGTGACTTTTTCACTCAGATACCTTTTCTCATGACTTTTTATCATTAAATAATTATGACATTTGTTTTTGTGTAGTACTAATTATAGCAAGAAATCAGGATAACATCAGTTAAGAAGACCATCATTCGTGTAAGCCAATGACCAGTTTCTTACATCCCACGCTGCTGTTACGATTTTACCATAATCATAACTACTAGAAGACAACTAATAGATAAAATAGAAAAACTGTCCAGTAAACACCCCAGGTCTTTTAGTGATAAGTACGTGTGTTTATAATCATTTATTTTTATTAATATCTAAGTGTACAGTAAACACCTCGGATTATCTGGCGACAGGTGCTAGCGTCGTTCATTATTTTTTCTGTTAATAATAAAGTGGCCACTTAACGCTTTAAGTCACTTGGTAATAGGTCATTATATTATCACTTATTTATTTTTATTAATAATTAAGTGGCCAGTAAGCGCCTCGGGTTATCAAGTAATAGGGGCATGTGTTTTTATTCGTTTACTTTTATTAACATTGAAGTGGACAGTAAACACTCCAGGTCATCTGGTATGATGTTATTAATTAAGAAAATATAGGGTTACTTGGTTAAAGGTGCTTGATAATCAATTTTCACAATTATCAAAACTTGTTAATCATACTTACTGTGTCATTTAATTGAAAATAAATAAAGTACAATTAAGTGAATTGTTTTGATATTAAGGTCATTTCATAGACCCGGACAGACTATACACTTAATCTGGAGCAGTATAGTGCTACTTACAGTGTTAATAAAGTTATGAATAATTGTTTAAATGTCTGGACTATAAATTAACTAATATAGTTATCTTGTACCTATATACTAACACTTTTATGAATTTTTATTTTCAGAAAAAAAAACATTAAAATCAAACCTTACAGTGTTTCTGGTACTAAAAAAGCAAGGCAACTTTTTGATAAAGGGATGTCTATCTAAGCTGCAAGCAAAGCAAATAATGTACCGTATACTACTCTCCATTCAAGGGTTAAATAACAGATTCCTTCCAAACATTCACATGGATCAAATAGTTTTTTAAGTGCTGAAGAGGAAAAGCAACTAGTTGAATAGATTTTTACCTCGAATAAGCGTGGTTTTCTCATTACTAAAGAGAATCTATTGCATACTGTGTTAAATAATTGTAAAGAAAAAAAAAAAAAAAAAAAAACACCCTTTACTAATGATAGGCCAGGAAAACACTGTTACATATCGTTTCTTTATAAAAATCCAAAACTGTCAGAAAAAAAATTTAACCGCTACGAGAGGTAGCATTACTGAGGAAAAATAAGGAGATTGGTTCAATACAGAGTATGAGTATCAAAAAATTTTTAATTAAATGATATTAGACCAGAAAGAGTTTTTAACATGGATAAATTAGCTTCTCTATTAAATTTCAAATGCAACAAAATTTTAGTTAAAAAAGGAGAGAAAAGAGTACACCCGAAAAGTGTACACGGCTTTGGTAGGCGATAATGCAGCTAGTGATCTACTATCAACCATGGTTATGTTCAATAATCAAAGAAATTTATCTGCAGAAATATTTCCTGATCATTATATCATTGGCAAAAACGAGACAGAATGGATGCCTTCATAGACATTTTACTGCAATGTAACAAATTATTTTTACTCTTGGTGCCTCCATTTTCAAGTTTTCAAGTCAAAAATTCAGTAGTCATTTAGATTTAAGGATAGCTATATTTTTACAAGCACGGCTTTTCAGCTGTTGCAGACTAATTAGATTAGATAACAATAATAGTTTAAATGATTAAATAAAGCACGTTTCCCTTCATTGTAATGCCTATTCACGTTGCCTCAAACGGATTACACTCTTTAACCTCTAGGGCAAAATGATTTTTTGATTTTCAAATATAAATCATAAATTAATTGACCACCACACAATATTTCGTATTTATTTGAAAGTTCAATACATCTTCTATAAAAAAATTAATTTGTCATCATAAAAACACGAAATTTTCTAGGCCCTAAATGTTATCATACCTGATTTAGGCCATCTTCTCCTACAATCATGGACAGTTTCATCAGTTCCAAAGGTTCATTCATAATTCAAATATTCTTCAGTTTTGCCACAATGATTTTGTTATTCTGAGCTTCCAAAGATATAAAAAAGTTTGATTTAACTTTACCGACCATAACTAACATTTCTCTCAAATTTTGAATTAATTATTTTCTACATCTAAACCCTGATTTTTATTACAATTTTTTTCTCCTGAATTCTTTGATTCCATTTTCATTGCAATAACACAGGCCTACAAAAAAAAAACTTTTTTCGTTGCCATTAATTTTGTAACCCTATTCCTTTGTAGTTTAAGCCACTAAATCTGAATCCATAGCCCGTTTAACCCGTAGACATCAGGATTTTCCCCGAACCTCAAAAAACACCTCAGATTTCACCTCTCTTTTCAAAGTCCAACAGTAGTCAACCATTATATTTACATTGCATACACCCTGATAACGTATTTCCGTTTACTTCATATCTTGATAAAAACGTT